TTAGTTTTTATAATTATTATTTTAAGTTGTAATTAGTGTGCATACGAAAATTAAATACAAGGTCACATATAAATGGGAAAACTAAATACGAAAATTAAATAAATGGGAAAAACATAGCAATAACAATAGAAGGTCATATAGCATCCCAGCCCTCTACGCTTGCTGTACGAATGGTGTACCACTTCGGTATGATCGATGGGACTGGAAAATCGGGTGACAGGTCCAATCGGATAAAATGTCTGTATGACGGCCCCAGAAATCCAACAGCAACCTCTCTTACCGGTCTGATGACGGTCTCACGTGAACACCAAGGGAGAACCGTGGTACATGGATAGTAAGCTCGACTATGCAAACCAAGGCCGAAATGCATGACTGCACACTTGTAAATTCTTGTTGAATCTAAGTTCTTGTTGAAAAGGTTGTAGGCTTTGACTTTCACGCAGTTGTTGATGTGCCATGTGCACAGTAAATGGCTCGACTCCGGAAACAGCTCCGCTATAGGGGCAAAGAGACCTCCCTCACAATCGCTGACGATGGCCGATGGTTGAACATTTGGGCCGATGTAATTTCTCAACTTCTCCAACACCCAACGGTAACTCGCAGCCGTCTCATCTTTCATGACTGCATAACCAATCAAAAAGTTCTGGTTCGTTGGAGTCATCCCAACCATCTCAACCCGTGGGAACTTGTACTTGTTTGTCTTGTACGTTGAATCGATCAGAATCACAGATGGCCAAGACGAAATCATATCAGCACAATCAGGATGCACAAGGAACAAATGAGTCACCTTCGATGTGTCTTCATCAGATTCAAACCAGTACATGTAACCACGTGCTTGTGCCTGGTGTAGAAGCTGCTGTATAGGGTTTCTTCCCTCTGACCGTTCAAACCTCAATTTCTGTCTAAAGTTGTAGATGTGTCTTCGGTTTGGCTGGGCTTTAGGAAATTTCTCCAACACAGATGCTAATATTTTAGCAGGCTTCACTTGAGCATCACTCATTTCTTTTACAACTAGTTTTGCAGCAGGACTTAGGCCGCTTAACTGTCGATGACCCACTTCATATACTATCATCTCATGGTTGTGATACCCCTATTTACCGTAACCCTTCACTTCCCGACCGTCACGCCTTTGCTGTTGTCGAACCTTTACTCTGAATTGACACCCACAACCTTTCCCCTTTGTATCAAACCGAATCGCGTGACTGAAATCTCGTTCCTCCCTTTTGCGATAACGGTCGCATCTCAAAATGCGATCCATTCTACCATCCCATTGAGATTTATGAGTTGCTACTACTAAACAAAAACCTGATCTAATTGCAACCTGTTTCGCCCAATCAACCGCTTGTTGAGCATCTTCGAACAGACCATCATGTACAAAAATCCCACTATAATCATTTCCGTCTCCACCATAATCCTGCAACAATAATATATAAATATAATCACATAAGATTAGATTAAATTATTACATTTGACACAAAATTAGCACAAAAGTAATTTCTAAACTTTAAATTTCTAAATATCATTTCCACTCTTAACGCATAATACATTTAACGTCCAAATTTACACATAGTTAACACAAAACTAACACGTAATTATATACAAAAGTATTCACACACATACAAATTAAAACATACATTTGTTTATTAAAACGTGCAATATGAACTTCAAAAAAGTAAATACAAAATAAATAAATAAAAGAATATACTAATAACGGAAATAAAAAATATAAACATAAAAAAAAATAACCAATTTGACAAAAAAATATATACATAAACAAAACAATATGTAAAGTGCAAAAAATATAACCAAAAACAATAATAAAATATAAACAACAAACAAAGAAATAAAAAACATAAACAAAAAGTATTCACAAAAAAAAAACAAAAAAAAAACACAAAAATCAAAAACATAAACAAAACTTTAAATTAAATTATAAAAAAAAAACCAAAAAAAACAAAAAAAAAAAACACAAAAATAAAAAACATAAACAAAAGTTTACATTAAATTAAAAAAAAAAACAAAAAAAAAAGAAAAAAAATTGTAAAACGCAAAAATCAAAAACATAAACAAAGTTTAAATAAATAAAAAAAAAATTAAAAAAAAAAAAAAAATTTAAACGTGGCAGTGGCGGCGTCCTGGCCAGGCGCCATTGCCATGGTACTGGCTTCCCTGCCAGGCACCACCGCCATGGTGGCGGCGTCCTGGCCAGGCGCCCCACCCACGGCAGTGGCTTCCTGGCAGGACGCCAGCCGCCACTTCGTGATTTTAAACGGCTTCGTACCTCGTTTTCCGGCGTCGACGGCGGCTCTCTGGTGCATCTAGCCGACGATGAGGGTTATTCGGTGTCCCTCGACGATCCAGTGCTGCTCCACGTTTTTGGTGAGTGAAAATTTCGTTTTCGGTAAAAATTTAAACAAAGGCAAGAATGTCAAAATTTTTAGAAAATGTGGGCTTTAAGTATAAAAACGTGGGCGATGAATAACAAGTCCCAATTTCTACCCACCCCATTTACTCATCTCCTAGTCTACCCACCACCCATTCATCTCTTTCTTCAACCTCTCTTCATCTCTGTCACCATCTTCATCTCTTTCACCTTCACCCTCTTCATCTCTTTCAACCTCTTTATCCCTCCTCCCTCACGAGTCACGACCATCGTCCCTTCCACCACCATTCTCTCTCCTCCTTCACGACCACCTTCCATCCCACCACCGTCTTTCTCCTCCCTATGACCACGACCCTTAATATTCCACTTTGAAAAGAGGGGTGGATGAGATTCGAACCCGTGACCTTTGTGTCACGCTGGCTCTTGATACCATGTTAGTGCATGGACCAAGTCAACCAAAAGCTTAAGCTGATGGTTGAAGCCCAGGAATATGTTTTTTACTCTATCAATCATGAAAGTTGATGATGATGTTATTCTTTTAGGACCTCCTCTATTGGTGACTGATTATTTTGAGATCTAAAGAACATATGGAAAGAACACATTGTAAGTAATTTTTTGTACATTACAAACAAATATAAAGTATATCATGTTTTTAGGTAAATAACATTATTAAATCATATAAAGAACATCACAAGAAATATACAAGACCATTATTAAGATGAATATTTAAGTATAAAATATAAAAAAAAAATTGGTGAAAAAATATGGTAGAAATAAAATATTTTGAAAACTGAAATTTTGTAAATGAAATTGTAAATTTTGATATTTGAAAATGAAATCTTGAATTATTTTTAGAGAGAAAATTATTATGAGAACCCAGTATTATGCACGTTCTTTATTTATAAACAATGACATGTTCTTTTCTATATATATATATCATGTTCTTTACAATTTATAACAATGTTCTTTTTGCAATTTTTTTTTGACCGGGTGTACTATACGCATGGTGCACTCAAGTGCACATGCAGATCAAGAATTGTATTTAAATTAAAATCAAATTTCAATTAGAATATGTGTAGATATCAAATGGGACAAACTAACATATAGAAACATGTAGAGCTGAGGGAGCATATTATATATATAGCTGTTTGGATACTAAAATAGTCCTATCCAATTTAATGTGTGAAAGCACTATATATATTATTGTAAAACTTATCCCATAATTTATACTAAAATCACACCAGGCCAGGTTTAATTTTATGTTAACCATAGTCGTTAAAATTCCGATCTGAATATTACAATCCTACGATTTTACGATCCAAAATTGCGTGATCAATCTGGATCTTTGGTAGGATCTTAAAGTTTGTAGGATCTTACGATCCTACTCCGACATTAATTATGAGTGGTAGGATCTCAACACGATCCTACGATTTTATTATGATCCTACGATCTGATCCAACAATTTACTATAATATGAGACTTTGATTTATTTTGACACATTTGTTTATTACTCATTAGGTTATATGCACCTAAATTTAATGTATTCAATAATTATCGCTAATAAATTAGCGAATCCGAGACATTAATATGATTTTATCAATTGACAACTTGCAATTGTCATAGTTAAGGTCTCATTCTTGACAAATTTGCACATAATTTATTAATTTAAACTTGTGTTATTAATCTTCTAACTAACATACAGACAGAGCTAAATGAAGATCGACCTTTCTTAAGCAAACCAATGTCTTTTAGCATTGAAACCCCTTAGAAGAAATGTTTGTAAGTCAATTTATAGCATAATATATAATATTATTCGTTATTAAGTAGGATTTTACGATCCTACGATCCGATTCTATTGATTCGATCCCCACCCCCCTCCCCCCTTCATCGATTCAAAGTAGGATCGCGATCCTAACAACCTTGATGTTAGCCCAAACAATTTAAAGATTACTCAAAATTAGCTAAAACGCCTAAAAATGATCCAGGGACTATTTGATATACACTAAATTATTGTAAATCGGGTGTAAAACAAAAAATTTTGCTCAAAATAAATAGACTGAAGTGGTTAGTTGTTAAGTGCCTTAATGGCATATATTATTTTCCTAATAATTTGGACTATTTAGTAGTTAGAAGTAGTTTGTATTGTAATTGTATTTAATTGCTAGTTGCATTGATGAGAAATATCACAAAAATTATGTAGAACACTTCAATTCTCTCTACAAAATACTTGAGTTATTTGCCTAGCTTTACAACAAATTAGCCATGGGTACTTCTTCTATCATCTCTACTAGTAATTCAAATGTAAAATTTTAATTAGTACCATAAAGTAGTAAATTTATCATACTGATTAATGCTCACTTCATCACTTCAATTTTTTTTTGGGTTTAATACAAATTACTGCTAAACTAATTTTTTTTTTTTTTTTTTTGCCAAAATTAAATTATTTAATTTTTACTCATCCTCTACTATTCATTGATGATTTTAATACTTATTTTAATAAAATTAACATAATATTTTATATATAGAATATGACATAAAACTCATTTTAATTGATTCACTATTATATATCTAATCGCGGGTGGGGTATATAGTTGTACGCCAGTTAAGATTCGTCAGTTAAGCATTTTCCACATGAAAGTCTTTATTTTGCTAATTATAAGTACGATCAAGTAGCTTTCTAACCACAAAAGAGGAACTAGGCCAACCTTATCAATTAGCTTTAAATACCGTACCAATATTAGTAGGAAGTACAAAGAACCAAAACTCCACACTATGGTTGGTTATGGTGCCCTTCCGCTCAACGTGTTACCTGTGTCGTTCCTCACGAATAAGGAAACTCGAATTGCCATGGATACTTCTGTTGTCATCTCTACCAATAATTCAAAGAGAAATATTAGTAATATAAAAAATAAGGGGTTCAAAGATTTTCAATGTTTTGTGCATGCCATTTCAAAGGACAGCTTCGTCAATGATCAAATCTCTTTTACAGTTGAGTTTTCACTTAATACAGTACATATTTAACGCATGTTTAGTACTTCCTTTGTTTGTTTGTTTCATTTGTGTTTTTACACAATTTTATACACACATATTGCACATTTTATACTTCATCAAGACATAATTGGTATGCTACATTTTAAAAAAAAGAAAAAAAAAAATTGAATATCGAAAATCTTACATGAATATGTTTTTTCTATTGAAAAAAACCTACTCTCATTAAAGTTTCTCTTTTCTCAAACTGAATATTTCAAATAAAAAAGAACAAATGGACGATTTTTTTCTTCAATTTCTAGCTATGTAATGTACTGTGGAGTAATACATTTGCAACATTTTTGTTTTTTCTTATCAATTAGGGGAATACATTCTACATAAAATAGATTTATTTTAGCCTAGTGTTTATAATGGATGTAGTCAAATATTCAATTCTTTTCTTTTTTTTCAGGATGAAAATCAGCTTGAAGAGTTGGTGAAAAAGATTAAGATGAAAATAATGGCAAGCAAAAGATACGGTGATATAGAAGAATTGGTTATAATTGATGCTATACAACGAATAGGTCTTGAACATTATTTTCGAGATGAAATCGGTGCTGCTTTAGAAAAGCATTATGATTTATATTATAGTACAATCGGAGAAGGTACTGATAATCTTCATGATCTAGCTCTTCGCTTTCGCCTGTTGAGACAACAAGGATACTATGTATCTTCAGGTATTTAATTTTTAATTTTTATTTAAGATAAGGTGAAAGAAGGTTATAACGAGTTGAAACCTCATATAGTCATATGTAATGACAGATTTTAGACCAAAAAGTACAGAGGATCAAGGTTTAAACTTTCAACCTTTAGTTAAAAGTGTATTGACTAAACTACTGTGACAACCTTTTGTATGCTAGATTTACATCTCTATGTCTACTAATTTTGTAAAAATTTACGGGTGCCAGGTCCTTATAAACCTTAATGAAGATCCTTCCATGTCGCATAGGTCAACTTAGTACAGCGAGCAAAGCTGCGTAAGGGCCAAAACCATTGAGTTCAATTCATGTTCTGAGTACTAGCCCTTACTTTGCACCCCTCATAATCATGACTGCCTACCTTAATTGTGCGTTAACACCCATGTTTTTGCCTTATGCCTTAAATTAGGTGGGCATGTAGCGGCACCTATGCATTAGATCTGATCAACATAGGCCAGGCCCAACCCGATTTTGAGTAGGCCATGGGCATGAAATTTTGGCCCATGTACATACGTTAATTTCTTTACTTTTATTTCTTATATTTATTCCTATATTTTGTTCTTTATATATGTTGCGTACAAATCAAACATATATACTACGTAACCAAATTGTATCGCTAGCTTGTCTTATCCATTTTTTTAATCCCCAATGCAGATGGTTTGGCAAAGTTCAAGGACGAAAATGGGAATTTCAATCAAGAACTTGCAAAAGACATAAAAGGGTTGATGAGTCTATTTGAAGCATCTCAATTTAGCACAATAAGTGACTACATCCTTGATGACGCAAATAAATTTAGTCGCAAACTATTGAAGGCCTCGTTGAAGAATGTTGAACAATACGAGGGTATGGTAATAGGAAACACACTTCGTTATCCATATCATAAAAGCTTGCCAAGAGTAATGGCCAAAAAGTTTCTTCCTTATTTCAAATCGTCCATAATGTTTCTCCACGATTCCAATCATATCAACGATTGGATAATCAAGGTACATGATCTAGCAAGAATCGACATCAACTTGGCACAAATCTCACAACAATTGGAAATACTCAAATTTCGAGGTATATGATGATATATATCATTTTTCTTAAACCATACAGTATGATACATATCATAATGTACATTACATGTATGTCTAATATTTATAAGGTACGTATCATACAAATACAAGTGCATGTCCAAATTTTTAAAATTTAAAATATAAAGATAAAATCATATTTGGTAAAAAAATTTAAATCAAATTTTGTGCAATAGTTGAAGCGATAATTTAATTTAGACTTTGGAGATTATATTGGGATTTGGGAGTATATCATATGATATTTTTGTGCAACTTTATCCTTTTTTTTTTTTTTTTTTTTTTTTTTGGGAGACGATCAATGTCTAAACAAGAAAAACTTTAGATAGATAAGAGAAGAGGGTATGTGTAGTGGAGTAATAAATTACGAGCAAGATTTTTATTAATTGCCCCAATTCAAGAAAGTAGATTACTTTTTTAGTGATTACCATGTTTATCTAATTACAGAACAAATTGTGGATTTTGCTAGATGGGTAAACGAGCTTAATTTGGACGAGGAATTGCACTTTGCAAGAATTGAGCCATTTAAGTGGTGTATGTGGTCAATGGGAATTCTTCCTGTGCTAGATATGTTCGAAGAGAGATTAGAGCTTGCAAAAGCAGTATCATTTAGCTACATGATTGATGACATATTTGATGCTTATGGAACGTACGATGAGCTCTGTCTATTCACAGACGCCATTAACAGGTACTCTATATGCATGAATGTAAAATTAACCCGACTTGAATATTCTAATTCAGTTTCAAACTTTACCTTAAGCAAGGTGATCCAATTTTGCATCATGATGAACTTATTATTTGATATAATTCAACATTTAAGGCATTATTATTATTGTTGTCGTTGTTGAGATCATACTATTTATGATGGGTTAGCATTGCATACAGATGGGAATCCGCTGATGTTACACAATTACCCAATTGCATGAAAGTATGCTTCAAGGCTCTCAAGGAGGCCACGAATGAATTTAGCTCCAAAATTGAAACAAAGCATGGATGGAACCCAAAACGATGCTTACAAAAATTGGTACAACTACATACATATATAACTCTCTATCATTCATATATTCATTCATCTTATATATCACTCTTCTATCGGCTATATTAGCTTGGCTAACATTATCAATGGATGGTACAGTTGAGCAATAATCCCCATAGCGTATTGTCACCTTATTAGTTCATTAAATTATCAACATGACAAAGTGCCCCATACTATTTATTTTGTACCTAGGCTTTAATTACACATGCATATTTTTGAACAGATTAATAGGACAATTGTCATACATATTTAATTGCCAATTTATTAGTTCAAACTACACTATTAAGTCGATATTATTGATGATGCAGTGGGCAGAGCAATGCAACGCGCGCTTTATTGACTTGAAATGGAGAGTTGACAAGTACTCACCTAACCCTGAAGAGTATCTAAACAACGGGATAGTTACTTGTGGAGCTCATGTAGTTTTGGCACACGCATTTTTTCTTCTGGGCAAAGAAATCAACAAGAAGAGTTTTGAGGAGTTGAATAGCCTTCCTTCAATTATATCTTCCACGTCTACCATTCTTCGCCTATGGAATGATGCATGGGATCATACGGTATGCACACTAGCTTCTTGCTTTGCCCTTTTTTAACACGATAAAATTCTTACGTTGTTTTTTTGTCCCTTGTTTGTCTTTTAATTGACGTATATCATAGCATACTTCCAATTATTACTACGTAACAACTTAATTTGATTACATACATTCTCTTACATTCAAAATTATGTCCCCATTTATTTGAGATCAAATGCAAATTTAATTGAAATATGATTTTTGCAGGATAGGACTCCAAATGGAGAAGACAGTTCCTATGTAGATTGGTACATGAAAGAACATAAAATAAGCTCATATGATATCGCGAGGCAGCATGTTAGTCGAAAGATTTCAGATGCATGGAAGTGTCTCAATAAGGAGTACATGTCGTCTACATCTCCGTTCTCAAATGACTTCAAGGCAGCCTGCCTTAATTTAGCAAGGATGGTTACCATTATGTATAGCCAGGATGAGAGTCATCATCTTCATTAATTCATTGTGGAACCCAAAAATTAGTGTCGCATGATAAAAATTACCCTACATGCGTGCCCTGATGCCCACTTGATTCAAAAAGTTCTCGAAAAAATAATAGATGGGAAAAGTAAATTAAGGCCGAGAAAATAATACGAAGTAATTAATAAGACTTCCTAGAGATAGCAAATGGATTGATCCTAGTACACGTTAAGTAAAGTAAAAAACAATTTGACTTATATACGTCATGGAATAAAATTATTTGACTTACGTCAGTGTAAAGTCAAAAAAAAAAAAATCGAAAATTATAATAATTAATTGAAAATATTGATTTTAATAATTCCACCTTTAGCTAGTTTACTGTTAATAATCCCACCTTTAGATTATTATTTAATAATTCCGCTTTTATAGGGATCTTCTTCTATGGGTCCCTTATGACCGATAACCTGTACATTTGGTAAATTTTTTTTATATAATTTAATTGACATGTGGCACTAAATAATTGGTCAAAAAAAATTAAAGAAAAAAACTAAAAAAAAAAATTTGGTCAAAAAATTACAAAGAAAACCTAATTTTTTTTCCCCCAACGACCACCCTAACCTCCAACCTCCGGCAGCCCGTCCTCCCCATCCCCATCGCTGGAACCCCCATACCTATCGCCGAAATATCCATTTTCATCCCCACCCAGCAAAAACCGGCCAGCTCCCCCTAAAACCACCCCGATTTTCAATTAAAAAAAGTTAAAAAAAAAAAACCTTCAAGAGCGGTTAGAGGGGGTTTTCGATGGAGTTTCGTGGGTTTATGGCGGTTTTTTCGACGGAGTTTCGAGGGTTAATGGCGGATTTCGGTGGAGTTTTGGTGGTTTATGGTGGTTTCGAGGGTGGGATTTAGGTCAGGGGGTGATTTCAACGGTGGATTTGATCGACGAGGTGGTCTTTGCTTCTGGCCGGCCTTTTTGGGGGTTTAGGGTGGCGGCCGACCGGTTTACGGTGGGGCTAGGTTAAGGGTTAGGGTTTCACGGTGGGAGGAGGGGTGGCTGATGGTTTTTTGTTTTTTTTTTAGTTTTTAATTAATTTTTTTTTTATTCAATCAATTACAAAACGACACATGACATCTTAACTTATCAAAACTGGTTACCAAGAGGTTAAGCACCAATAGAAGTTGATCCCTTATAAAGGTGGGAATATCAAATAATAATCAAAATGTGGGATTATTAACAGCAAATCGGCTAAACTTGGGATTATTAGAATCAATTTTTCCTAATTAATTTTTGAAACATCAACTTTTATATGTGGTTGAGGGTTGATTTGTTAGTGTTACAGTCTTCCAGGGGTTACTCGGTCAGTATGATAAGTGTGCTTAGATTTTGAATTTCTTAAGTTTCAAAGCTTGTGATTGAAAAATGGAAAAAAAAATGTTAAAGTTATTACTCTCCTTCTCTGTTTTTTTAAGTGTTACGTACACTTACCAAATGCAGCCGTGTTTTTTCAAGTGTTATTATTTTTTTATTTGCGAAAAACTTATATGTTAATATTATATCTATCTGCTCTCATTAGTACTGTCAAAAACCGAACCAAACCGGGGAAATCGAAACAATTCAAACCGATCTGAATGAGATCCGAACCAATTAAAAATCGCTTTTTTGAAACGAAAACCGACCCGAACCGCATTTTAGTAAACCCGAAACCGAACCGATCCGAGTAACTTTAAACCGTTTAAGAACCAAACCAAATCTAAACTGAAAGGAAATCAAACCGAACCGTTTCTAACCCGAAACCGTTTGAACTGGCATAAAAACCGTTAACACCGAACCGTTTATAAACCGAACCGTTTATAAACCGAACCGCTTATAAATCGAACCGTTTATAAACCGAACCGCTTATAAATCGAACCGTTAACAAACCACTTACTACTAGGAGTGGTTATTGGGCGGGTCGATGCGGGTCATTAGCGGGGCGGGTCGGTTGCGGGTCAAGATGAATTTTATTTTAATAACATTAAACAAACTTTTATACAATTAATTAATTACATGGCTTAAAAAAAAACTAATTACATTTCTCGGATCCTGATAAAACGATATACACCTTCATAATATCAGCTTTATAATTTTTTTTAACACACACGTTAAAATATTAAGTTTTTTAAATTATAAAATGTGAATCGGTTAGCGTGTAAATGTCTAGCGTTGCGATTAATAAAAAATCAAAGACCGTTTAATAATATAATGATGTCATATCTTAGAGAGTTAGAAGTACTACGGATTTGTTATATGGTTATATTTATATCAGTTTAGCTGTACCTATAAGCAATACACTTGTAATTGTGTAAACTTATAAGTGATATAATTAACTAGTAGATTAGTACATAAATACAAATTACTTAATTAGATATGAGTTATGACTACATGAGTGATTGACTAATATGACTATATGAACAATTGTCAATTTAGCATAGCTGCATAACAGATTAGCAGTGTACTAGACTATCCTACTCGGTAATATACTAATACCATTTCAGTATTTGATCTATTAGACTCAAGTTAAAAGTTACTCTTTCTTATTAACTTGTTAGTCTAACTAAGTAATTACTAATTACTAATTAGTGACTTAAGCCTTAGAGGTAAACCAGTAAAGGATATACAAAAATATAATAATCTTATGATTCTCATCCCTTTATACTAATAATATTTAAGTATGAGAATATGAGATGGTTATATGTTATGTATCTGTATAATCGATTGAAAGAACCAATATTACCTTCTTTTTCATTAATGTTTTCTTTCATTATACAAATCAAACTACTCTATAATATCTTCATATATAACTTTATGCAAATATATAATGATAAACGAGTCTTAATTATCAGTCTTCTTGACTAATTAAGTATCGAATACCCAACTAATCAAATCATGATTATGACTCTATTAACTAAATGATCAAATAAGAAGCAGATAATAATCTAATAGTAAAACAATAATACATTAATGCACTAAACTTTTATAATCTACTTCGTAATAAACTAGTAAGATCAGTATGGCTAAACTTGAAACATAACATGATATGTATTTATAAAATTAATGAGAATTTGCATATAATATGATGCCTCAATATGAAGTGATGAAGTCTCGGCTTGATATAAAACTTATTAACTAGCAAAAAGTTAGAAAGTAGTATAAAATTTCAAACCAAAATTGTTTGATTGGCTGAATCCAAATGACTCGATAAAAAACCGATTTTTTGAAATCAGAAACAGACCCGAACCGTAATTTAGTAAACCTGAAATAAAACCGATCCAAATAATGTTAAATCGTAGAAGAATCGAACCCATTAACAAACCGAACCAGTTATAAACCGAACTAAAATTAAACTGAACTAAAAAAGAACCGAACCGTTTCTAACCCGAAACTGTTTGAACCGGGATAAAAACCGTTTACACTGAACCGTTAACAAACCGCAACCCGTCTACACCGAACCGTTTACTACCCGGACTGTTTACAACCTGGACCGTTTACAACCCGAACCGAATTGAAACCGAGATAAAACCGTTTACACCGAACCGTTAACAAACCGCAACCCGTCTGCACCGAACCGTTTACTACCCGGATTGTTTACAACCCGAACCGTATTTAAGCCGGGATAAAAACCGTTTACACCGAACCGTTAACAAACCACAACCCGTCTGCACCGAACCGTTTACTACCCGGGCTGTTTACAACTCGAACCAAATTTAAACCGGGATAAAAACCGTTTACACCGAACCATTAACAAACCGCAACCCGTCTGCACCGGACCGTTTACTACCCGGACCGTTTACAACCTGAACCGAATTTAAACCGTTCAAGAATAAACTGAAACCGACCCGTAAGACATTTGAACCGATTCCAAACCGACCCGATTTCAAACCGAACCGAAACCGAACTGTTAAACCGTTTTGACAGTGCTAGCTCTCATGGTTCCAGTTTCCCACTCAAACCCACTAATAATTTTTTTTTTTTTTTTTTTTTGCAATTTCTTTCCTCTCACGCTCACTACTTTTCATTAAACTATTAAGTATTAATCCCTTATATTTCTTTTACAATTTTTAATATTCAAACTACCCCATTTACCTCTTAATTTATTTAAGTTAATTAAACTGTTTAAAATTATGTGCCGTTGAAGATGTAATACTTAATAACTTATTAAAAAAATAAATAAAAAAATAAACACATAGGGACTACGGAGTATAAATTAGTTTAAACCTTTGAAAAAAAAAAAAAAAAGTATTTCCACAAAACAAGTGAAGTAAAAAAGTAGTTAGACTACATAGGCCCAGCCCAACAATTAATTGGTCAAGTATAAATAACCCATTTCAATCCCCACATTTTATCTTTTCTTTCACACATTAGCGCCAAAAAAGCAAATCAAATCTCCCAAAAAATGTCAAACTCCGCATCTCGCCTTCGCAAGATACTCAAAACCCAGAAAACTGCTAAACTCTCACCTCAAAATACTCCTAAGTTAGGTTCCGCACTACCCATTTCAATCAAGGCTCTCGCCGAGGAACTCGACCTCGACGAGCTTGCGAAAAAGATTAACCATAATGCAACTTTATCCTCAAAGTTTCGTAGTCGCCACAACATTTACGACTTTACGATTGCTCGTCTCGCCAATGCCAAGCGATATAATCTGATCGAAGATATACTTGACACACATAAACATTTTCAGGATATTTCCCGCGAAGGCTATGCGCTTCGTCTCGTTTCGCTGTATGCCAAAGCTGGGATGTTTGATCATGCACTTAAGCTGTTCGACGAATTGCCTGAACTAGGTTGTCCTAGAACTGTTAAATCTTTTAATGCCCTTTTGAAGGCTGCGGTGGAATCTAAGAGATTTGATGAGGTTTTCACTCTTTTTCAAGAGGTTCCGGCTGATTTGGGGATTAGTTGTGATGTTGTTTCGTATAATACTTTGATTCATGCTCTTTGTGAAGTGGGGAAGCTTGATGAAGGGTTGTTGATGATTGATGAGATGAGGGCGAAGGGAGTGAGCCCAAGTGTGGTTACGTTTAATACGCTTCTTGGCGCGTTTTATAGGGAGAGGGGTTTCGAGGGAGGTGAATTGATTTGGGGTATAATGGATGAATATGATGTGGTTCGGGATGTTCGAAGTTATAATTTGAAGTTGCAGGGTTTGGTTGATGAAGGCGAGCTTGAAAAGGCGGTTGCTTTGTTTGAATCATTGGAGAGTGAAGGGTGTAAACCGGATGTGGGTACTTTTAATGTGTTCATAAAGAAATATTGTGATGAAGGAGATATAGAAGAAGCTAAAAGGTGGTACTATGTGTTGCTTGAAAGTTGTGTTCCCCCGAATAGCATTACATTTTCTTACCTTGTTCCGAAGTTCTGTGATGATGGAGAATATGAATTGGCATTCGAATTGTGCAAGAAGATGTTCAAGCGGCAGTTTGTGGTTGATGAGGCTCTGTTGCAGCTTGTTATCAATGGATTGGTGAAGGAATCGAAGATTCAAGAAGCCGAGGAACTTGTAGAGCTAGGGAAGTCTAATAGCTTTGTTCAATATGGTTTGGTGATACCTTCAGATAACACAGAGAAGCAAGAACAGAACAACTCGCTGTGAAGTTGGCACCTTGCCGTGGCTATCTTGTGAGTACTGAAACTGATTCTGCATCTTCTTTACAGTGCTTGATGTGCTACAGTTTTCCTTTTGGTGACCATATATTTTACTTGAACTAGTAGTATAATGCTTAGAATGTTTGATTTTCTATTGCTTCATAACGTTCTAGTTTATTAGTCTTTGTAGTTTTATAATCATTTCTCTATGAAGTTTAGCATTTGAATTGATCGTGTAGACCAGAATTATTTGCCAACCTTGGAGAACTTTTTGGGTATCTTATTTGAATGATTATCACATCCCAATTTTTTATTTACTTTCCAATTTCTCACCTCCCAATTTTATAATGATGTCTCTTAAATTTCTTCACTTTTCTTTTGTAAGTTCTGTTCTTCTTTTAAAATCATGAACCATAATGGTAAAGGGTTAGTTGCCAAGTCGGGTTGTGAAAAGATTAAAATGAAAAAAAAATAAGAAAATAGAAAGGAGAGTTGGTCAAATTTCAAATGACTATCATGCATTTATTATTTTGATGTGCTTTTTAATATAAAATTCATGAAAATTTTCGTCGATAGATGTATTATTTATGAAATACGACTCCATAGTTTAGGGGCCCTTATTTAGTTTTCGCTCTGGGCCACGAAAATGAACGAGGTGGCACTATGCAACATTGTCATATTAGGATATATATGCTCTATTGCACATGAAGCACTGACTTCATGTGTTTATCTAGGCTTGAAAGACGTTGATTCTCATCATAGTTGTACATTATTGGAATCATTCTTGCTAAATTAAGGAAAGCAGCCTTGAAATCTGCTGAAATTGGAGAATGAGACAGACATTCCTTATTGAGGCACTTCCATGCATCTGAAATCATCCAATGAACACATTTGTGTGCACTTTCAGCTGAGCTGCCTTTATATTGGTTCATGTAGCAATCTATAAATGACCCATCATACCCATCTTGGTTCTCGTCCTACAGAATAAGATCAAAATTAGAAGTAATGAAAATTAGCCTTTTGATTCCATATACTATGATGACTTCTGCCACTATCTTTTCCCGTTTGAGTTTTATGGTTCAGTTAGGATTCGAGCTAGATATATGGTACGTAGGGTGTCAATTGTAGAAATTGCTATTTAGTTATATAGGCAGTTTGAAATATTCTCATCACCTAAACCAGAAAAGGAATCCATCAACCAGAGTGCGTACCTTAGAAGTCCCTAGATCGTCCCAGAGTCGAAGAATTTCAGCCACTGAAGATGCAATGTTGTGATGGCTGTTGAATAGATTTGTGCTTCCATGGTTTACAGCTTCACCTAAGAGAGAGAAGACGTTTGCATAAACAACATAGACTCCTGAACTAATTTTTCCATTCTCCAAATACTCCTCAGTGGTAGGCAAGTGTCCCAAAGAAAACCATCTCACCTCCAGTAGGAAAGCATTACATAACTCGGCCCACTGAAACAACATATAAACCATCCAGTTATAGATTAATTGATTTTCTTATCCATACTTGCTGTCAACAAATTAGTTCTAACTCGTTAACAGATTCTGCTGACATACCGCTTTTCTAAGACAATCTCTGGGGTTCCATCCATGTTTATTGTATACTTTGCCACTTATGTTATCCGTAGTGTCATAGAGTGCCTTGAGGCACATTGTCATGTAGTCTGGTAACCCCTTGGTATTTGTATGGTCCCATGTGCTGACGGCTTCTGTGAAGAGAGTGAGTTCCTCAAGTGTTCCATACACATCAAAGATATCATCAATGATATAAATGAATGATATTGCTTTTGTGAGTTCTGTCCTTAACTCCGTCATATTGGGGCCTGGGAGAATAACCAAGGACCACATATGCCATTTGACTGGTTGGTTTCTTGCAAATTTCAGCCTCTCAGCCAAGCAAAGCTCTTTCCACCATCTGATTATGTAGAATACAGCAGAAAGTTAGTGTCTGAATTGGATGATTATGTTGCAAAATTTCTTTTCAATATTACCTTGTAACCTGAATTATTTCTTCTCTGTGAATTGTTTGAGCCTCGTTGACATTAATTTTTGCTAGATATTGTACCTCCTTTATCCAGTCAATCATACCACAGCAATCGTGACGATTTTTCATCAAAATTTCAAAATTGTTAACTTCATTCTGTGTTAGAAGTCCTGACAGGCTTTTGTGATATGGATTGTGCAATGTTGTTCGTATTACTCTTGCCTCATCAGATTGTCCACTTCCATTCATCAAGGTGGATTTCAGGAGACACTCACAAAATTCACCTGCATCATCCAATATATGCTCCCCTGGAGTGCTCAGCTGAGAAGCTTCAAAGAGACTCATCATTCCCTTCATGTCCCTGCCAAGTTCTTTGCTGAACTTCCCGTCTTTGTTTTTGAATCTATTGAAAATTTCTGTTTTAGAGAATTGAGATTGATTCAATTAAGCTTACAGTATTTCACAAGAGTCAAAAAACAACAGAGACAAAAATAATCTTTCTATTGATGATAGAGAGATTTCAAAATTATAACTATATCAGAGGCCAAATAACCTTAGAGGGGATTTGCTACAGCACAGGTAATCAACTTAAGAAATGCATACTTCGTATATTGGCTGTATGTAATTAATCTGCTTACCTGCAGACACATTGTATCCTGCTTGTCTCAGCAGTCGAAAGCGAAGTGCAACATCATGAAGATTAGAACCATCTTCAACCATGGTGCTACACTGCACATGATGCCTTTCTAGCACATCATGTATATTGTCGTGAAAGTAATATTCAAGGCCAAGTCGCTGGACGGCATCAATCATGATCAACTCTTCTACCTGACTATAACTGCTTGATTTGCTTCTTATTATCTTCTTAATCTTTTTCACCACGTACTGAGCCTGATATTCCTGCTGCGAATGGAAGAATAGTAAACCTTATACAGAATACATGTTAAATGATGCAAATAACATAGTGGAAGGTTATACTTGTATAAGCTAGAACTCAACTAAGGGATATGCACAAGTACCAAGCTCTGCTTTAAAGGAGCTGCGTTCTGAATGTTTTTCTCAGCAATATGATTTTTACCTCCAACGGAAATGGTTGCAGCAGTTTTAGCCATCAATCGAGTTTCTCTTGTCGTAGCCTTATTGCTTATGCATGATTTGGTGGTAAAAATGGCAGCTGTAAGGACAGTCGAGGCGGCCATGGTGTTTTAGTATGATTCTTTTATGATAGTAGAATTAGAGGGTGATAGTAAAATTGCTCCATTCCTTGGCCAAGGGTGACCTACTTATAGGATGAGCAGATACTTGATTAATAGACTCCTAAAAAATCTACTAACGAATGTACTTGAAAATTTCCCATAAATGGAAAGGCAATTTTCATTAACATAAAACTAAACGCAAACTCTTTAAAGATTAATTGAAATATGGACTTAACAACGACCTATATGTATTTACGTATCTAATAATCTAATCCAATATTGGCACTTACAATAACAACAATAATGCAAATTAGGTTTAGCCGTTTAGGGGTTTTCAGGATGGTTGTAATTGTAAAAGAGAGTAAGATGGTAAGCCTATCTAATAAAATGTACTCTTTGATGTTTATGTTTTGATTATGCACATTTTTTAATGCACATTTTGATTATTTATCTCTAATAATTTATTAGAAATGTTTACTAAAATAATTAATAATCTTACAACACTCATTAAAATTAATCAAACAAGACTTTAGTTAACTATACCTTTTCTTATGTACTGAAAATAATTTGTTAGAAGATTCTTTTAAATTGGGAATAATTGTAAAAATCCGAACAACAGAAATATAAACAAGAAACACATGAGAGAGTATATAATGACTTTATTGTAACTTCTTTGTTTTGACAATCACTTTATTGTAATTTAGGCTATGTCTATGAAAAGTAACAGAATACTCCCTTCGTTTTAAAATAAATGTCCTAGTTTAACCGGCACTATATGATCAAATCTCTTCTACAGTTGAGTATTCTCTTAAAATATAGAATAATACAAAGTATTCGTATTGTTTAGTACTGTTTTTCTTTAGTTTCTTTAAATTTGTGTCATTTGTTATTCGTATAGTTTTCAACACCGAAAATTTTACCATAGTCTTTCGAAAAATGACAATCATAACTCTTACTACATGGCACTATGGAAGATTCAGATTGGCGAAATTTTCAAGTGTGCTTTTTTTTTTTAATTAATTTTAAATGCTTAAATTAATTTTTAAAAAATGTTTATTTATTTTAAAAAATCATTTTTAATTTCCGAACATTAAAAATCATAATTTTCAAAAATCATTTTTTATTTTACTAATTAATTTATTTGATTATTATTGAAATTAAAAACTAAAATCAGAAAATCAAAATTAAAAGTCTGTTCTTCCATGTTCTTCATTGTTCAACCATAAAATTAAAATAAACGCCCCATAATTCGTAATTTGTTTACAGAATTGATCACCATCGTTCATCTATTCGATCATCTATTAGTTTGGTGCAATTTCTTCTTGATTTTGGTCATTTTATCAAAAATTGGGTTCGAAATCTTGGTTTGTTCTTCATAAATTCAACCATGTTTTGATGAATAACTCACATAAGTGTGAAGGGCAAGGTCGCGGCTGCTGGCATTTATGGAAAATGAGTCGGAATTATGGAAGATAATGATGGACAAATCAAAGAAGCCAAATGCTCGAGGTTTTTTTTTTTTTTTTTTTTCCCTTCTGCAGATCTTGTTTGATCAGTAAAACTAAAGTGTAATTTTAGTGAATCTGTTTATGTGTATGGCATTGAGTCATTGACCTACATCTATTGTGGACATTGCCTATATACCATTACTTAATTTTGTTAGAAAATAAATAATGGAAGCTCATTGCCAAATCACAATGCATGTTTACCGGTTTTTTTTTAAGAGGAATGCATCAAAATTTATATGAGAGCTAGGTGGAAAAGCCATACCAAAGTAATCATTCTATTTTGAATCAGAATGGGCTCTCATAATCATTGAATAAATTAGGATTTCATATCCAAATTTCATTGAATATATGTAAAATATAAGTTAAAAACCTAATTATTAACAAAAAATAGTTGTTTACCAACTAAGTAACCAATAATTGACAATATGTATTTACAATTAACTTTGTAGACATTATTTAAACTTGAAAGGTTTTCGCTAATTAAGAGAAATATGTAAAATCGGGTGAAATCAAAAATCGAATCGTATAACTATATATAAATTATAAAATCGTAAGATTTTAATATTTAAATTGGGATTTTAACAACTATAATCAGTAATTTTTCATTTCTATGTAATTATAATTCCTCTTATATACTTACTTCTCTTTGGTTTTGGACTGAATAAGTGCAATTTAGGGACAATCTTATTCCACCTCGATCGTTTTGAACGCCACTTGAGTCATACCTCACTAACTACATAGTACAAGTATATTAATTTCTTGCATGTGATTATGCTCAATTTAGTACAATGTCAGCTTTCATAGCTTACTATGTACTCTATATATATACACCTGCATGAAGTATAAATTTCCTATTTTAACAAGTTCTTCAATTAATTATGAGTAGATGACAAAAACACACGTATAGATGAATGTAAATATTGCTTAGTTATTCTCAATCTATCTTTCTTTATTATTGTTATCTTTTACCCGTAGAAGATATTTGAGACAAAAAACAAAACTCCGTCATAAGAGTGAGCCGTGCTGGGCTGCCGCAGACCGTGCCTGATGATAGCTCGTGCCGTGCCGTGTCGTGTCGTGCCTGGGCCATCATTTAGCACACCCCATTCCACGGCACGGCACGGCTCACGTACCTGACGTGTCGTGTCGTGTCGGGCACCAGACCACCCATAATTTTTTAAATTTTTTTATGAACAACTTTTAAAGTTAATATACTATTTAAATAATTTTATTAATTTATGTTTATGTTTTTTATATTATTATATTATTATTGTTCTTATTATTATTATTATTATTATTATTATTATTATTATTATTATTAAGTTCTTTATTATTATTTATGTTATTTTATGGCCGTGCCTGGCGTGTCGTGCTGGCAGGCCAAACTACCGTGTCGCCGTGGGTTCGTGCCGGATTTTTGAAATTGTGTTCACGGCACAGCCCACGGCCCACTCCTCAGTCACCGTGCCGTGCCATGTTGCTGGTAGGCTCCTGCCGGGCCAAGCCAATCTCGTCCTGGGCCCGTGCCGCCCACGGGCGGCACGGCCCATGCCCACCTCTACTCATCACTATAAAGTACGGAGTATAAAGGGTTCAAGGGGACGACCGGTATTATTGCAATTAACTGGGATCATGCAGTTGTTACTTGTGAACGAAATGGATTCAAAGGTGTAAAGAGGATAAGATTAGAATATTTAGGGACTTCTCTATGACCATCAAAGCATGTTATATCAAAGTAGTCTGTCTTGTGTGTGGCTAGCAAACAGTGTGGCCACTCATAAAAAATAAAGTAACCCCTATAACTCCGACCGAGTAACCCCTGTAATACTGATTACCCTTATAATACTGATCGAGTAACCCCTATTACACTAACGAAATAACTCTTATACTGGTTGGCCACACGGTGTGTGACCAGCCACATATAAGACTTTGTGATATCATAGGACTAATTATTAAGGGATAATGAGTGAATAATTTGCCAGAAACTAAGGGATAATGAGTGAATATATAATTCTAAGCTTGTAACTTAGTAAGGGAACCAATTGTTCCCATCTCGCCAATTTGTCTTAATAAACTATCTTGAAAATCGATTTCATTCCTTATTGAAAACAAGTAAATGAGTGTAATTATATCACATTGAAAAATAAATGGGTAATGCTATATGTAGCCCTTAGGGATACATATAAGCATTAAATACATTCTGAAAAATTGTATAGAATTAGGAATTCATGACAAAAACACGAGCAAATCAGTGTAATTATTGTTTATAGTTTTATGATTTTCTAAATTTATACGATTTTTTAGTGTAAATTTAATACTTATATGTAGCCCTAAGGGCTATGTATAAATTAAAATCTTATATTTTATGGTTAAATATAAAGGTTATCCGCACAATCTGTGTACAATTATCCCATCTCCACCAAACATTTAATTGGATACTTCATACATTACAAACTACATCGTAATAGAAGTGTTATGCTATATTTCTAATGTAATTTCAAGGAATATCATAATTTATGGCTAAAAATTGCGCAACAAAAAGATGGATTGTCAAATGTCAATTTTACAAAAGAAGAACCATTCAATAGGCATTCATTCATCCACATCCCCTACCAAACATTGAATTGGACACTTCATATGCACATATTGCTTTTTTGATGTATTATTATAAAAAATATTGAGAAAATATTGTGTGAGTTCAGACTACAATGGAAGCAATATTTTCCTCTAAATCTTCCATTTCCTTCAATTCTTATGCTTCATCGAAAAGGAAGATGTAAAAATAAATAAAATTAGTTTTTTAAGAAAATTATTTATAAAAAATGTAATAGAGGGAACATGTAGGTCATTATTGTTAATTTTTTTTTATTTGTTTATTTATTATTATTATTATTATTATTATTATTATTATTATTATTATTATTATTACAAAGTTTCATATGTGCCTGACCTCACCGTGTGGCCATTGACTAGGTTTAGGGGTTACTCGTTCAGTCAGGGGTAACCTGATTAGTGTTTTGGTGTATGTCATCCGGCCACATGGCCTGGTGTGGCCAGTCACACAGAAAATGCTCGATCTGTTATTAATTTTTTTTGAATATATCTGTTATTATAGCGCGTTTTGTGTACGACTGACTACACCATTTGATAGCTTGTAAAAGAATAAAGTAATCCATATAACACTGACCGAGTAACCCTTGTAATGCTGATCGACTAGCCCTTATAACACTAACCAAGTAACCCCTATAATAACACTGACGAAGTAACCTTTGTAACACTGACTGAGTAACGTCTATAACACTAACGAAGTAACCCCATGATGGTTGGCCACATAGTGTGTCTAACTACATATATGAATATGTGTTATTATTATTATTAGGATTTTTTGTGAAAAACAACCTTTTAAACTCCAGATTTTTGCGAAAAAACAACCTAATAAAAAAATGTTGTCATTAGGCCTTTTAAAGTATAAAATGTTGTAATTGACTATCTCCCATCGGAATCTCATATTTGACTTTTTTT